TGTCTGTGTTTTGTGTGTATGGTCTGACATGCGTAGCGTGCGACCTTTGCTGTATGTTGTTTGTGTGACTGCCTGCACTGCGTTTGCGTGCGCCTGTGTCTGTGTTGTGTCGAGTGTCACTGTCTGCATGCGTGCAGTGGCGTGTTAATTATGTGAGTGATGTGTGTGTGTTGGCTGTAGTGTGTGCTTATTGATGTGTACGTGGTGTGTGTGTGTGTGGTGTGTGTCTGCGAATGCGTGCGTCAGCCGTGCGCGCTGTGTCCTGGTGTTGTGTGTAATGTCTGCATGGCGTGCGTCGCGCCTCGTGTCTGTGTTTGTGGTTATGTCTGCATCGTCGCGTGCGCCTGTGTCTAGTGTTATGTGGTTAAGTTGTCTGCGCAATGCGTGCGTGCCCCCTACAGAGAAATGTCTCCGTGTTTGTGTGTATGTCTGCATGCGTCGCGTGCGACCTGGTCTGGTTTCGCTGTGTATGCGTGCATGGCGTGTAAGTGTGCCTCCGCGTCTGTGTGTTTGTGTGGAGTGACGGTCTGCATTGACTGCGTGAACGCCTGAACCTGTGATCTGTGCTTTTGTGTATTGTCTGCATGACGATTGGGTGCGCCGTAGATGTCCTGTCGTTATAGCTGCTGATAGTCCTGCATGCGTGCGTGCGCCGTGTCTGTGTTTGCTGTGTAGTCAAATAGCGCTGCGTGCGCAACTTGAATGCTGTGATATTCGTGTGTCATGTCTTGTCATGCGTGCGCCCGCGCACGCCTTGTGTTTTGTATTTATGTGTATGTCTGCATGCGAGGTGCACAGCGCGTCGGCATGGTGTTCTGTGTTGGCTGTTTGCATGCGTGCGAGGCTGTGTGCCGTGCGCGTGCGTGCCGTGCGTGGCGTGCGTGCGTGCGTGCGTGCGTGCGTGCGTGCGTGTGTGTGCTGTGTGTGTGTGTGTGTGGTAGATGTGTGTGTGTGAGTGTGTGTGTGTGTAAGCGTGTAGTGGTATAAACTAGACGTGGCATAAGGCCGTAGGACGCGCATAACCAACTAAATACAATGACAACGCATTGATAGCACCGACACTTATGCAGTTGGACGAGATTATGCAGATAGCGGAAAGCGTTGTCCTTCGACGACTCGATATATACGTTGTGTGCCAGCAGCAATCAACACCGCCAACAAAACATGTCGCTCGTGTCCATCAGTGTAAAGGAAAACCTAGGAAGTGGTAACGGTCAAGGTTAAGGTAAACGTAACGGTTAAAAGTAAGACAGTTACGTGTAAGAAAGTGCAGATAAATCCGGTAAACATACTTATCGTTGGACGCACATGGACGCCACAGGTCCTTATAAAAAACTAAGAAAGCAACAAGAAGTATAAACTCCATCAGTGCGATAATAAAAAGCAAGCGTCCAGTGGCGGTGCAGTGCTAGCGGGGTCTGGGGACATGCCCTAAAAAAAATTGATTGTAGACGTCTGCAATCTTTAAGGAGAGTTTAGAATACAAACATGTACAGGAACAAAATTGTTTAAACATCCAAAAAATTTAACTGGAACACTGGCTACTCCAGCTGTGCTTCTTCTCGCGGGCGCCAGTGGCGATTATGGACGTTCAGAACTGTTTTTTTCTTTTTATGTGTCTGTCTCTGCGGCATGAAATTAGTACCTGAATTTATAATATACCATGGTTGAAACTCATTTATCATTTGCGTGCTATCGTAGTCAATGTGAACTCCCGGAGCGTGGTCGTACTCATGTCACACATAATATTTCTGAAGTCCTGAAAATCAGTATGAAGCTTTCTTCAAACAATCCTGCGCTGCGGCCTGAGTTACGCATTTCACCTCTCGTCGGCTATATCGCTCATTCGATAGTGGGGCAGATAAAAATATGTAAAAAAATCGCTAATAAGGCGGCCATTTTTAGGGATTATTTCCATTGCTGAACGGCCGATTTAGGAAACTAACTATATACTATATATATATATATACTAGTATAGCTATATACTATATTTAAATATTATTAATAATGATGCTATGCTATTATATATATAGTCATATGACGTAGCATCAGATAATGCTCAATGATACTTTCTGCAAGGACCATGTTAAGAAACTGTCCAATTATAAACGCTAGCTCACCGTGGTGTGTAAAAATGGACACGCTTAAATTATATAGCAGTTTTGCAAATCGGGTCGTGTTTATGAGGATATTATTTCTTACCTTAGCATGTTCTTTAGAAATATATCAGCACCCTCAAACAGCATATACATATACGGATGATTACGGCCTGATGATTTGTTTGCGCTTATGTGATAAATTATGTGAATATATATGTAATAGTATATATAATAATATATATATATCTATATATATATAATTTTACGCTGACGTCGCTACAATAGTAGCTGATAAGAGATGCTACTCTTCGTCGACGAACGACCCGGACTTCACGCACGCTACCTGGCGGTCGACATACAATTACATTGACAAGGAAAACGGGTAAGTCGCTTAGGTCTACACTTTAATAAATGCGACGATGATCACGTGACATGAGGAGACATGCTGCATTGAAGATTCTTGCGACGAAAAAAACGCGGAGATCGCGTATGTCTTTTCGAAGTAAAACATCAGATTATATCTGTCTCACAGTGTCCGCACATAGGCTCATCCACGTAAGAATTTTTTTAAGAAAAGGTTTCTGCGTTTGTCTGCCCTAAACGCACAGGAAATCCAATCAGATGATCAATCGGGTAAATATTCTACTCGCGTGTCGAATCTCCCCTGCGATTTACATACGCGCGCGTACCGCAAAATGCCATCATTATACTTGTTTATCTTGTACTTTAGAAATATATATATATATATACCCTTCGAGAATCTATCTCCTGCAGCGACCTAAAACAAAGCATTCGTGAACAAAACATTTGGTGATCGAATGCGTGCGTGACCAACTCGTGGGAAGGAATATAAATAAAATATAAATAAGCTGTTCGTTTCGTAGCGGACGTGTATTGCAATTTGAATACGAAGCAAATCGCATTCACGTCGGTGAAGCGAACGCACGCATGTTTGATGATGTGATATATAGATTCAATGATCCGCGTGATGCGACGCTGATTAATATAAGTTGCGGCTTCATCGCCGATATAAAACTAAAACTTTATGACGTTGTTAATTTACCGTGGACGAGATTTAAGTGTGCCGCCAGTGTCAACACTCTTCGTGTGGCGGCTCAATTTAATTTTCTTTTGGTAACAGACGAAAATTACTCGTGTGTGTGTGTGTGTGTGCGTGTGTGTGCGTGTGCGTCTGCGTGTGGGCGAGTGTCTGCGTGCGTGCGCGCACGTGTATGTGTCTTTGTGTATGAGAGCGTGCGTTCGCGCGTGTGTGTGCATTCATCGAAACACGAGAGTAGATTTTTCCCAAGTGCTTCATAGCAGTAATGACGCATGTGTGTACGAGCGATTACGTTTGCTCGTTTATCGCACCGACGTTATATATAGTCTCTCTATATAAGTATAGACTGTAAAGTCTGCGCTGCGGACTTTGATGTTGTGCTATTTCATCGGCGCGTGCTCACGCCTCAAAACACCGCCGACAAATTAATTACCCGTAGCCGCAGCGACAGTGACGACGGCTGATAGACGCTGACGATAGAATGTGCGAATTGCATTAAAGTGTGGTGGAGCCACGTACGACCGCGATGATGATGATAACGATGAAGATGCCGATGACGATGACGATGACGATGACGATGACGATGACGATGACCATGCCGATGACGATGACGATGACGATGACGATGACGATGACGATGACGATGACGATGACGATGGCCATGTCGATGACGATGACGATGATTAGAGATACAAGACTATTTTCAAACGTCTCTTATTACTTGTCCGGTTTTCGACTCGATTTTTGAACTAAGATTGAATCGTTCCAACTTTTTTTTAATCAATTTTTTTTTATCATTGTGGCTTATCATGTAGAAGCTCATTCCATATTCAATCTCATATTTAAAATGGTTTCCAAGATCTCAGCCCAGCTCACTCCAGGTTCGTTTCTCCACCTCTAAATCGTCTGCCTCATATCTCCTCCCCGTTCCAATCCTCCAATTTAAATAATAACCTTTGCTATAGCGACATCAATTTCCCTAGGGCACATGTATCTTGGAATACAAATTCGCTTGAACTCATGTTGCCTTGAGAGTGGAAACCTTCAATACGCTTGACACAAGTAGGGGGGGGGCCTACATTTGTTAGTTAATCAGAAACGAAAGTGGATGGCTTTTTTGCGAGATCCAATATAAGTGAAGCAATCGCAAAATTCCGTAATAACATGAAAGAGGCTAGAATTGTGAAACCGAATTAATTATATATCGCATATACGAAAATAATAGGCATGAGCCATATAGCTATTATTTATACTCCTGTGTCTGTGTCTGGATCTACGTGTGCGTGTGTGTGCGTGTGTGCGCGCGCGCGCGTGTGTGTGTGTGTGTGTGTGTGTGTGTGTGTGTGTGTGTGTGTGTGTGTGTGTGTGTGTGTGTGTGTGTGTGTGTGTGT